AATCTAGGGGATAGACAGCGCATATATATATATATATATATATATATATGTATAATAATAAAAAAAGAAGAGAGAGAGAGAGAGAGAGAGAGAGAAAAAAACAAATCTACCAAAGCAAGAAGGGAAGAAGAAAGAGAGAGAATCTTAATTAATCCTAATAAGTCCATATTGCCGGTAATACCCGGTGAGATTAGATAATTGACGGAGAAACTCAGTAATTCACAACATTACTTGCATGATACATATTTTTCTTTTATTATTGCATAAAATAGCCTATATATAGAGCTCTCCTCCGTCATTATCGTATGAATGTGTGATAGATGTAGTGATAGAACATTTCATATATAATGTACATTTCACATATATGTACATAAAAATTTTATTAGTAAATTTGAAAGAAAAGGTAACTCAACTGATGTCCTATATTCTTTATTAAGTTACGTTCTGCAGAGTACTAAAATTTATGTTTGATTTTTTTATATTGTATGATATAACATTGATGCATGTGTGTATTTTGTTTACAGGAAGCATTGAATAATAATTCCTAAAGGATTTTCTTTGAATAATAGAAAAATAAAATTAATCTTTTCTTTAATCAAACATATAATTAAAAATTATATAATAATAAATCATTGTTTATATTTTTTATGGTATCTTTTCTTATATTTTACGTTGTGCTATATATTTTATTTGCAGAATAACTGCGATCTCTTTGAAGCTTCAATGGAAAAGGAAAAATTATAAGTCCTGTCCTGTTCCTAAGTACTAGTGCCGCAGGAGTGATTAGGTTGCATGAGACATTACCGTATCTCCTGCTGCTCAAGTGCTTATCAACGGGTCGGGACGCGTGTCAACTTTTATTCATGATCTAAGAAGCAACAGAAGAATTTTGGATACCTTTGTTTCGTTGTTTTATATTATTTCAAAAATGTTATAGAGTGCAAGGAAATGGATTTATTCTCTTTATTTTTAAAATATCTTTTGTAATAATATTATGTAATAACAATAATAATTATAGTAATAATAAAAGTTTATGACAATAATATAGTAGTTATATTGAACATATGCATAATAGATTTATATGCGCGCGCGCGCGCGTGTGTGTGTGTATTATATGTATACACATGTAATAAATATTCAATTATTTTGTATTACATAAAGTAAAATGTAGATATAATAAATATATTAATTTATAATTTATGTGTATATGTACATTTGTTTCTTTATTTTATTATGATACTGAATTTATATAATATAGAGATAAATATATATTTATAATGTAAAATAAGTATATATATATTATTATATTTATGTATATGGCATATAATTATAAACATTCAGAAGTATTATTATACATATATATTATTTAATTATATATAATTTAATTTTCTCTAAATCGTAAAATTGAGATAATTAAATTTGTGATAAAAAAGTTATGTTACTATTTTATATAATAAAAATTTATGTGAGATTTGCACGATTAATAAACACTTTATTTTTTACATTTACTTGTACAAACTTTTTTCTTCTGTTTCTTTCCAAAATACGAAAATGCTTTAATATATATGTTATTTATCTGAAGAAATTGTACTTGCATAATGTATGCAATGCGTTTAATGTAATGCAATTAATGTAATGCGTTTCATTTTATGCTTGCAGCGTTTATAAACATCATTCGTCTGTTTAATGAGCCTTCTACAACAAGCCATTATTTAAGTTTTAAGTGTTAAATCATAAGAAATTTACCAATCATAATCAAATGTGAGTGGTCAATTTCTTATGACTTAATACTTAAAACTTAGGTAATGGCTTATTATAGAAGGCCTATAAAGTGATTTTTCATATGCAGCACGCTGTGGCAGCAATTCGTTATTTATTAGTTAAAATTTTATATGAGATAACGTACTTCTGGCGCAAAATATATTTGAAGCGTGTCTCATTGAAGTTCACAACCATAGATTTCTATATAGATCACGACCTCTGTAAAATGAGGTAAAATGAGATAAAGCCAACTTGACAAGAGAGGAGACCATAACTGCCATCTTTTTATCCGGTCAAGCCCATGGTATGTATACTACATAGAAAAACGTAAGGCTGTAAACGTAATCAGTAAGCGAATTGCCCAATCACAGTTGAGAACGTAAGCGGGTGCTGCTTTTTTGTCGTATGTATACATACATACGACGACTCTGCAACCAATCAAAAAAACAGGATTTTGCTTTGTTTCGATGATACGATTTTTCTGATTGGTTGCAGAGTCGTTATATGACGAAAGTCGGATGCAGCGTGAATCGAGCATAAGAATTGACCAATCACAGTCGCATGTTCTCCTCGTATTCAACTGTAATTAGTGCGACGACTACGGGTGTATATCAATTGCATACGAGCCAGTTGCGCACAAACCAATCGCAACGCTAAAAAAAATTTAAAAAAATTCCCTACGCAGAAGTTGCAGTTTTGCGGTTCCACTAGCTTACGGGCGCTGCGAATAAATTCTAGCAGACGATGAAAACGACCACGCTGATGCCCAAAGACATAGAGAATGGACTGCGCGATCCCGTATCTATGAGTAGAGACCCTCTAATCAGAGTCGCGAAATAACGTCAATAAGGTTAGGTCGGCGATACCATTTTTCAGCAAAAACCGGAAGTAGCGATTATAGTTGATTATAGTACATTGTGTAAAGGTTGGATTATACTGGCCGTAATCTGTTAACTTATGCTGTAATCTGTAAAAATTGACCAATTATAATCGATTATTCCCCTCTCATTCGACTGTGATTGGTCAATTTTTACAGATTACGGCATAAGTTAACAGTTTACGGCCAGTATAAATCAACCTTAACGCGGAACGAGAGCAGAACCAATAACGAGCATTCCGTGTTTCTAGAGAATCTCGTGATTGGTTCTATTCTCGTTCCGCGTTATGCCTAGTTCACACTAGGCGCGATGCGCGAGGAGCGATAACCAATAAGAACTCTTCTTTACATCGTCGTGTGAGCTAAAGCAAAGCTTTTATTGGTTATCGCTCATCGTTCATCGTCCATCGCATCCAGTGTGAACTAGGCATTACGCTATTCCGCTGCATGGGTTTGCACTCTTAAGGTGCTTTTTCATGCGCAGCACGCTGCAGCAGCAATTTGTTACTATTGGTTAAGAATTTTATGTAAGCTAGATGACGCACTTCCGGCGCAAAATACATTTTGCCGCAGTTCGTTGAAGTTGAACCGAACGAACAGCAAGCAGCAAGCGGCAAAATCGAGGCAATATTGTTTATTGCAATAAATATTAGGAAAATAAACGAAGAATAGCTTCGGATAAGGTACGAATGTTTGTAAATTAGATCATTTTATACTTTACACTTTACTCTTTAATTTGTGGTAAAGTATAAAATGATCTAATTTACAAACATGTATCCGTACCTTATCCGAAGCTATTTTTCGTATATTTTCCTAATATTTATTGCAATAATATTTTCATAATGAAACGACGGACATATTGTACGCTTTTTCGATTTTGCCGCTTGCTGTTCATTCGGTTCAACTTCAACGAACTGCGGCAAAATGTATTTTGCGCCGGAAGTGCGTCATCTAGCTTACATACAATTCTTAACCAATAGTAACGAATTGCTGCTGCAGCGTGCTGCGTATGAAAAAGTACCTTTACGTTTTTGTATGTGCCATGGGCTTTAAGCGATAGGGCTTAAAGACAAAAGTTTCTAGGAAATTTTACGTGTGGCTCGCCTGCAGCAGCTTGCGTACTAGGGTGCGTTCAGAAATGACACTCAGATAACTCTTGGGTGCATTTTTGATATAATATACGTAACGTAAACTATAGCCTAGAGTTACCTAGGCGTAATATCTGAACGCAGCCCTACATACATGCAGCAGACTTGTGTGCGTGCAGCAACTTGCGCGCGCATATCCGTTCTCTGTGATCCTAGTGTGCTAGTCGCGTCGCGTACTCTTCCGTTCGCGTTGGGGATTCCATTCGTTTGCCTGTGTATGTGACATTTTTTTTCCACGTACCATTCGCGCTCCAACATGTTTACCTGGCTATACCGCTCTCATCACGATAACCAGCAGTCCGTTGTCGATTCCATCATGATATTCACGTCGCCTTATCGGCAGCATTAATTCTCAGGTACGTGCACTGCGGATTGCTGCAGACAGTGCCGAGTTCCGCGGTACCCCGCCAACGCGAACGGCAAACGGCGGCGCGCCCTGACGAGAATCTGTTTACGTAGTAATGGCGAACGTGCTTACTCCTCGTCACCGTCGCGACGCCTTCCTTCACCTTCCGTACTTTTTCCACTTGGAGGAAAACGACGAGTCTGGTTCCTTCTGGGTAGAGCAGGGGAAGTGGGGTAAAGAGCGGGGGAATTATTCTAGAATTTTCAATTTTTGTTCTTTTTTTTTTATTGTGAATTGGATTTATAATTGTTGAATAACTTATTTTTAATTTTAGAGGTTTTAAAAGAAAAAAGTTTGCATTTTAATTAAGTCTATTCAACTTTGTTATCAGTACTCTGACAAAATATTTTGCAGTAGCTAAGCATAAAATTTTATCAAAGCACTACTAAATTCTTTTAGTTTTGTTTTAGATGGATTATGTTTTTTATTCTAATTTATACAAGTCAAAGTATTACTAAGTTTTTAAATTAAAAATTTTTTTTAGAATTAAAAACCAAATGCCTTTGTTTTTCATAGCTGGGGAAACAGGATTTTTATGTAATATATAATTTTTAGCTTTGCAAAATAAAAATAGAGAGAAAGGTGTCATGGATGATGAAGTGCGACTTGAAGGTGAAGAGGAGATGGATCTGGATGAAGCTTCAGATGGTGAAGACGAAGATGAAGAAACAACAGGCATTCCTATATCTCCAGCTAACTCGGATCAATTGCTTGGACAAACAACTCCATCCACTGGCAGTAATTATATTTTAAATATTCTCTTTTTGTTATTTTTAGAAAAATAATATGCATGTTGTAATTGTTATGATATTTATAAAAATAATATATAAACATAATTATTTAATTTATTAAAATATTAATTGTAGAGTATCAAAATTATAAAAAATAAAATACAAAAATTACAAAGTTTTAATTTTTTTTATAAAGAAATATATATATATAATATTTAATTCAATTAATACTATTTATATTAATTTATACCTTTTAAAATTTACTTCTTTCCATCTATCTTTTTTTTAGTTACATCGGATGAGGCTTTTCATGATTCGCTGCGGTATCCAAAGTTTTCACTACCTGGTGGTAAACCTTTAAACATTCGCCGTGGACCTGGTAGACCTCGGAAGGAACGACCTTTTGGTCTAACTCGTGGAGGAGGAACAAGGAGATCTTTTGGAAGGGGTAGCACCAGAGGCAAAGGGTTTGTTTAATCATTATTATTATTTGAATATGCACACAATGTGTGCTTATATATATGTATATGTACTATGATTATGTTACATGTGTGTGTGTGTGTGTGTGTGTGTGTGTGTGTGTGCGCGCGCGCGCGCGCGCGTGCGTGCGTGCGTGCGTGTACGTGTGTGTGTGTGTGTGTGTAATTTTTAATAGAGCTGTATGAATTATTTGATGTCTTTTTTTATATTTTATTATTTGTTTCTATAGATTTGGATACACAAGAGGTATACCACGTCGTACCAAAAGTAAAGATGATGACACACACTCGGAATCGCCAAGTCCTTTGCGCATCACTGGGATGGATGATAGTGGTCCTGATGGTAGTAGTGAATTAATGGGAAACTCGATCGAGAGATCGATGCCAGCGCCTGAAGAACCCCCTTATTTTCCTGAACAATGGTAAGAATTTTTCATAATCTTCAATCATTTTGCATTTAAAATAATTTTGAATAATTGAGTATATATTAGGTCTACTTAATTCTCAGCCCTTCAATCCACTATAGCACTTTTAAATTTGAATCTTTTTAGTCTACAGTCTTTTGAAGTCTTTTACAGTCGTTTTGAAACGTCATCCTTAAGCTATAAAAATAAGGTATAATAGGTGTTGGTGTTGCAAATCTAACCTCAAAAAATAGTAGTTGAAAACTGTTGTTCGAAAAGCAGACATTTGTGGCACTGTCTCCTTTTCGCGTTTCAGCTGAAGAAAAATGCTGTGGAAGCTCAAGAAATAATTTGCTCGGCTTTAGGCAAAATCTGTATTGTACAGTACATATAAAAAGTGATTCCAAAGATTTCGTGATGATAATTTCAATTTTTTTCATCTTAAAATTCATCTATTCAAAACAACCATCTTTTTTTGAAACCGAATCCATCAGTTGCCTGAAGGCAGTGTTTCTAGCAGGGACGCGTTTTTTATATTTACAATTTCTTTATTACATTTTAATTACATTTTTTTTTACTTATTATAAGTCTAATAATTATGTATCTCTTTATGAAATTTAATAATCTGGAGGTTCTAAAGGTACCCATATTCTTGTGAACTTGATACTTGACCCGAGAAAATGCGTCCCCGCTAGCAACACTGAAGGGTGCTATTTCATTTATGCGTTTTTGTCGTACGAGTTTGTCGGATACGTTGATTGACTATCCAAAAATCTAAAAATGGAGACATCTGTCGAAGAATATGTAGTAATTTTTTTCGAAAAAGCTATTTCTCAATATTTACGACAGTCGTGTCATGATCAATATATATACAGGGAAGTCAGTGAAGTCAGGGAAATGTCAGGGAATGTAAAAATGCGTCAGTGAAGTCAGGAAAAGTCAGGAATTTAGCATACTTGTCAGGAAAAATAAAATAGCTGTAAAGAAATTTTTTATATCATGGCGCACAATTGATAAAAATCATTGATAAAATTATTCCGCTTCGTTCTTCAAGCCAACTTGCCCGATAATTCTTTACCTTTATGATTTGCCGTGATCTTGCGGTGCTAGTGCACTATTGCCTTGTGTGTGTATAATATGTTTTGACTGCCTTTTTCTTTTTTTTTTTTTTATTCGATTCCTCAAAAATATCTGCATCTATGTTAAATTGCTGGATCAACAGAATATTTAACATTTTCCATATTACGATAAAAATACAAGAAACATTGCAAAATATGTATTATTCAAAGTCAGGAAAAATCTCAAAATTTTGTCAGTAAATCAGGGAAATATCAGGAAATTTTACGATTAAATATTTGTGGCAACCCTGATATACAAAAACGTTTCAAAACGTGCATGAACTTCCAATCGAATTGACGATAAAGAGTTTAAAAGGATGATGTAAAGAGACTGGAGAGACCGAGAAAAGATCTCTGTCATCAGATTTTGTTAAATAGGATGTACACAACCATGCATATATTACATTCATTCGATAAAATTTTGTCGTACGACCGATCGCATGCGCACTAAAGCCAATCAGTACATTCGACAAAATTGTCGTACGACATAAAACGCACAAATGAAATAGCACCCAAAAGATGGCGAAAATGTGTGAAAAGTGAAGTGTATTATTACTTTGATTAAGAGCCGATTGTTCCATCTTTTGGTAAAGTTTACCTGTTAGATAAGTAGTAAGATTACTCAATCACGGATTGCTAGATTTATTTAATAGATAAACTTTACCAAAAGATGAAATAATCGGTCCTAGGTTAATATTCGTTCTTTTACAATTTTACATTGAAACTTAGCAAAAAGGACCGAGAATTAAGTTGTAGACTAATAAAATGATGTGCATATATGATAGAATTTAAAAATATTTTTTATTTCATGAAATAATTATTTCAATGGATTAAATAAACAAGAAATATTAAGACAAAAAGCAAATTTAAGTATTTTGAATAATATTAAAAACTGTAATTATAAACATTTTTAGGCCGGGCAAAGTATGTGCGTTATGCAATTTAGGTGAGAGAAGTCAGTTGGGACAAGGTGAACTTTTGCGTCTGACATGTCCACTGGGTTTCACTCCTGAGAAATCGACAAATCGCGATGAAATATCTACTGACCATCTTGTCAACGTCGCTGTCGCAGGAGATAAAAGTCCGCGTGCTACTGGACCTGGAATTGCTGTTACCTGTCGTAGACAAAAAAGTCTAGCCAAATGCAGGTAAAAATATATTATTATTCATTATATTATTCATAATGTATGTATATTAATATATATAGAAATAAATAATTAAAATACATGAAAGCTTATATCTGTATATTAAAATTATTTTTTACAGGAATACTAGTCTAACTAATTTCACGGAACCGGTGGAAGAATTGACAATCGTAGGTTATTTGGAGGAACCAGAAGTCGGGACTCTGTTTGATTCTTCAACTGGCTATTACTATGTTCATCAATCATGTATTATCTGGTCTAGCAACAATCAAGTTTTACTATCAGAATTGGCATGTCGTGCTGTTCTACAAGCTTCCTCTAGACGTTGCGCCTATTGCTCGCATTATGGTGCTGGAATTCCTTGCAAAGTAAGCTATAATTTAGCAATATATTATAGCAGTGAGGCTCGATTGCATCAACGTTACTTTGACTTTAGTGACACTTAAAAACCTCTTTTTTTGTTTAAAGTTGATAAATTGACAGAGAGGGAGAGAGTTTTAAGCTTTAAAAATCAAGTAACGGTGTAATCAGGCCTTAGTGATATGAAGAGATATATATATATATATATATATATATGAACTATAATAAAACAATTATTTATAATAAAACTATTTTTTATTCAAAATTAAATAATTATAAAAATAATAATTGAAAAGTGTTTTACATGGATTTACAGCTTAATTATGACTGCTCAATTATAACTAATTGTGATATATTTAACAGGTGACCTCGTGCAATCGTTATTTTCATTTTCCGTGTGCCGCGGCTAGCAGATGCTTTCAAGATAGTAAGAACTTGGCCCTTTTCTGCAGTCAGCATCTTGGTCAAGTTCCACTTTTATGTAAGTTTCCAATTTTAAATCTTTTTATTTTATTAAAAAATTTTTGCTATTTAATATATACATATCTTTTTTAATATCTAAAAATGAAGTAAAAGAAAGAAAGAAATAAATTATAAAGTCCAAATTCTACACATTTTTGCATATAAATATAAGAAAATTATTTTATTAATATGCAAACTTTTGTGAAAAACTTTTAAATTTGGTGAATTTAAAGCGCTGTTATTGTAGACAAAAGTCATATTTTAATATACACCATCAGTATTGAAACTCTATAGTATATGTAGCGACCACAGACTTCTATAAATATGTGATAAAGATGTAACATAAACTATAAATTTTCAGTAATATCAGAACACAATTATAATCACGGTCACAAATATGGAACTATAATATGTTAAATAAGTATTGTCTAAGCAATGAACGTGTTTACAATAGTTTTATATTTACATGATTCTTTTTGTTTACCTAATTCAAATAATTTTTGTCTAAATATTTTTAGCTACGATGCTTACTTGTAAGAGATAAAATTTTGTAAATATTTTAACTGTTTGATTTTAAAGTAGTTAATTGAATGCAAAATAATTTTATAGTATGTGGAGAAGTCACTTGCGTTCAATGTTATGGAATGGGCGACGTCTCGAACCTAGTGATGTGCTCCGTTTGCGGCCAACACTATCATGGCAGTTGTGTGGGCTTAGCATTACTACCTGGGGTGCGTGCTGGATGGCAGTGCGTGTCATGCCGTGTATGTCAAGTCTGTCGGCAACCCGAAGATGTTTCAAAGGTTATAGAAATTCAAATAAATTCAAAACATATAGAAAAAGATGTTCAAATAAATTTAGAACAAATAAAACTTAATCATAAATACAGGGTGTTCGAAAATTCAACTGCAAACTTTCAGAGATTATCAGGAGCACCAAAAAAGGATTATTTTTTGCAAATGGACCTAGAGTCGGAAACGTGTCGTTATATTGCAGAGTGTTCGAAAAAGGTCGGACCTCGAAATATCTAAAAAAATATAAGTTTTATAAAAAATTGTTTTTTTGACAAAAGTTGTAAGGTGTAAAAAGATCTATTTACTGACCTTTTATGAGTTTGACCTTGGGTGGTGTCGCCAAGATCAAGTCGAGATCATCTTGAATTTTTTTTTATGAAACCTTCACACTGGCTGGATCAGCCACCGATCTTGCCTAAGGCAATCTCAATTTGACTTTGGCGACACCATCCAAGGTCAAACTGGTAAAGCCTTGTGTCCACGATGCTAGAAATCGGTCCGAGATCTCGGATGAAGAAAGAATTAACAAATCACATTTGAACAATTTGGTCACATGACCAATGTAATTGGTCAATTTTTCCTTCATCCGAGATCTCGGACCGATTTCTAGTATCATGGACACAAAGCTTAAGAGAGATCAGTAAATAGATCTTTTTGAATCCTATAACTTTTATCTGAAACATTTTTCTGTAAAACTTATTGTACGAGATATTCCCAACCTATATTCAGATGTCCCAACCTTTTTGGAACATTCTATAAATAAAGGAGTATATTTTTTTGTTGTGATATTATTTTGATTAGTCTCTTTTGTTAAATTAAAAAATTATTTCCTCTTTCTAAAAAAAATTTAATTTTTTGAGTCGTATCACTTATGAAATAAAGAAACGATATTTTACACAATGCACGCGCGCGTGTACACACACACATACACACGCGCACACACACCTCTTTTTAATAGTTTTTATAAAACAAGATTTTTATTATAGGTAATGTTATGTGAACGATGTGACAAAGCTTATCATCCCGGTTGTTTGCGACCAATTGTTACTTCTATTCCAAAATACGGTTGGAAGTGCAAATGTTGTCGCGTGTGTACTGATTGTGGTTCACGTACTCCTGGAGCTGGGCTATCTTCCAGATGGCATTCTCATTATACTGTCTGTGATTCATGCTATCAGCAACGTAACAAGGGCTTCTCTTGTCCGCTTTGTAGAAAGGCATATAGGTAATTAAGATATCTTACAAATTTTGCAAATTTTTTATATTATATAAATAATTATAATATTTTACTGAAGTTAAGTAAAATTACCAAATATGATTAATTCTTGTAGAGTTTTTTTTGTAGAATTTTTATAATCGTTTGTTAATATGTATTGTTTTATTGATTTTATGATATTGAGGATTTATATATGTTTATATTTGTGTTATATATATTCTTATGTTTTTAGTTGTTTATTATTTTTTTTCTTTTTATAGAGCTGCGGCATATCGCGAAATGGTTCAATGCCATGGTTGCAAGAAGTTTGTACATGGTACATGTGATCCTGAAGCCGATCCGCTTACTTATCAGCAGCGCAAAGAGGCAAAGCCGGATTATGAATACATTTGTCTGCATTGTAAAAGCATCGCCATGGTAGCCAGACGAAAGGACAGTATTGATGAAGGCGAATTAAGTCTAAGTGCTTCGCAAGAGAGTCTCGACGGTGAATCTTCTGAGTTAGATTATCCAAGTGGTTGTTCCGAAGAAGCGCTTTATTCGGTCGGATTAGGGAAAGGGAAACCGTTTTGTGCCACAAAGATCGCAAAGAAAAGATTAGGAATTAGTGGCGGAGTTATCGGTAGGCCCAAAGGTATTGGAAAATTGGGTTATCAAAAGAGACAAAAGATGACAGAGTTTGGAAGAAAGAGAGGACCCAAAGGAAAAATGAGAGGATTTTATGGAATGCCAGAAGTAGGCTTGCAGGTATGTAGTGTTTCAAAATGATTTCTAATGTAATTTACATAGAATTTTATATTAATTTCATATTATAAACTTTATTTTTTATTTTAGTGTATTAATATATAAATAATTTTTTAATTAAAAGAATTATTTATTGACAAAATCGATTTGTTAGTATACATTTTTTTGTTTGATTTTTATTTCTTTTATAGTTTATAGTGATGTATATATGCATAGACTGGTAAAGCTCTACAATTGCAAAAATGTAGTTGTAAAAATTGACCAATTACAGTTGAATACGAGGAGAATATCCATCTGTGATTGGAGGATTCTTACAACTACATTTACGCAATTGTAGATCAGGCTTAACGTATCGAATCGTAAAATTTCCGGATATCCAGAAAGAATGTTATATTGGATATCTGATATGCAATCGAATATCCGGTAAGGTCATTATCTAATTGGATACCGGATATCTGGTACAATTTTTCCATTCTACTAAAAAAAGAAAAGGAAGGAAGAACTAGCAATAATAATTTTCTTTATTTCCTTATTTTTTTCACCGTCGTGAAAAGAAAAAGAAAAAAAGTGAACTATGCAAGTTCAACTGAAAAAAAAAATAGAATTGTGCATCAATGAACTTTTACTATAAAAATTTAGCTGTATATATTACCGAATAATAATGATATCTGGCTATTTGGTTGGTAAAAAAAAAGATCGGATAAGGTTTTGGATGTCGAATACTTCCCAGATATCCGACACATCCCTAGTATAGATAGGGTGTCCGATAATAACCGCATAATCTATTGTAAATAGATAAAGCGGAGTAAATTGAGTCAAAAAGTACCATTTTGCAATAATTAACGAGATATTAATTTCAAATTAGTTAAATTTATTTCTCATTATAAGAACTTTTTTGCACATAGAAGTGCAAAAAAATTATATATAATCTGATAGTTTTAAAATATCTTGTATAAAAATGTATATAATTGATTCTATAACTTTCTTTGTAACTTAAATAAATTAATTCTTTAACATTGCAGAGTCCAAATCCAGATTCATCCCAATCAAAAGAAGAAGAACAGCTTGGGTGTGAGAACAGATTGATCTTGTGTTCGGCCAAAGATAAATTTGTTCTCACACAGGATATTTGTGTAATGTGCGGCTCGATTGGTATGGATCAGGAAGGTTGTTTGATTGCATGTGTACAATGCGGTCAGTGTTATCATCCATATTGCGCTGGCGTTAAGATCACTAAGGTTATTTTGCAAAAGGGCTGGCGTTGTCTGGATTGTACTGTTTGTGAAGGTATTGAAAAATTAAAATACATATATATTTTAATTTTTAAAATGTTTAATTTAGTATTATTAATTTCGCAAGTTTTAAAAATAATCGAAAAGAATAAATAATTATATAGTTAAAAAATAAAGTTTACTTTGCCTAATTTTTTTACATAAGCTTTTTTCGAAAAAATGTATTGTTATTTAATATATAAAAATATATAATTAATAATATATTTTGAATTGACAAACGTTAAAAGCGTTAGTATGTAACTTAATATATGTATAACTTAAGATAATCAGCAATGGTGAAAAATATTAATAGAATTATAAACCTATACAAGTTTATTGTATAGTAAACCTGAGAATTTTATTGATTTCTATTATTTTTTAACGTTATGTAATCGAGAAACTTGTAATGAGTTGAAAGGACTTTATTGGATGTGTGTTAATAAAATATATTTCATTTTTAAGGCTGTGGTGAACGAAATGATGAAGCTCGTTTGATTCTTTGCGATGACTGCGATATCAGCTACCACATTTATTGTATGGATCCGCCTTTAGATTATGTGCCGCACGGCACATGGAAGTGCAAATGGTGTGCGCAATGTCAGACTTGTGGTTCTAATGATCCCGGTTTTAATTCATCCTGGCAAAAAAGTTACACTCAATGCGGACCTTGTGCTTCTCACACTGCTTGTGTAGCTTGCCAAGAAGCTTATCAGGAAGGTGATCTTATTATTCAATGTGTACAATGCGAAAGATGGCTTCACTGCGGTTGTGATTCGATTAAAAGCGAAATTGATGCCGAACGCTGTGCCGAGGAGGGTTACGTTTGTCTTCTGTGTCGTCCTAGAGATGTTCCTCCTCCTCATCTTCTCTCTAAACCTTCCTCAAAATTTGCTCGGTCATCTTCTCCACCTCAAAATCGAAATACAGAATTGTTTAAAACTTCTTCGCAACAATATTTAATAGAAGGAGTATATCTTTCTGAAGTAGGGATGAATCATATCAAATCTTTAACCGCAGAACATCAGCAAACAAGAAAAAAGAAAAGAAAACAACCGCAAATGGTGGATAAAGAAGCAGATATAATGGCGACAATTGAATCTGTCGTGGCTGGAGGAAGTTTGGATAATTCTTTAGAGGAAAATAATAAATTGGAATTGATGGATGTCAAAGATGAACCAGAAACAGTTTTGAAAGAAGGTATGGTATGGAACCAACCTGCTCCAGAAGGCTTCAGCATTTGCACTTCAGAAAATGGACTTCCTGTTTTACGAAGAAAACGTCAAAGAAATCTGCAAAAATTAGGAATTGGAGGATTTAGTGTAAGATTGAGAACCAGGAAAGATAAAGAAGAAGAAGGAGATGCTGAAAAACCCGGAGAATCTTCAATCGTAGGAATGGGAGACGATAAACCTCGAAGGAAACCTCAGAGAAGAAAGCCGAAACCGAAATTAGCGGAATATTTTCCTAGTTACATGCAAGAAGCGTTTTTTGGCAAGAATTTAATGGATACAACGAAAGAAAAAGATCTTGAAAGCAGCAGCGAATCTGAGGAAGAACACAAAGTCCCTGAAAATGCCAATACAATTCAATTATCTCAAGATGAATTGAAAGTAATGGAACAAGTTAAAGCGAAACAAGAAAAAGAAGATATAAAAATTGCTCCTGAACAAATTAAAAGAGAAGAAATTGTGGAAGATGATGGAAGTGATACTGAAGCACTTGGAGATATTTTACCAATTTCTGGAGATTTATTGGATAACGATCTAGTGAATACAATAATGAATGAAAACGATGAGGACTTAGCTAAAGCGAGTGAAGCACTGGATGAGTTGGATGATGCTCAAAGTGGAAGTAAAGATGAACTGACGGATATCCTAAGTCCACATTTTAATTTGGAGTCGATGGTCAGAGACACTGGTAAGTTCTTCTCAAGTAAATATTAAATATTTTATTGTACACATAGTGTACATTAGGATAACAGAATGTATTATTTTATTAAAATTTTAATATTGTCTCAGTAGAATATTAAAATATAGTCAGCTAAATATAAAATTAAATACTTTTTGTTTAAGGATTACCTAATATGGACAGTAAAGATATTGAGGAAATATTTAAAGGCGTTCTAACCGATGAATCTCAAGAGTCTCAAGAATCATCGGTGTTTTCTGTCCAAGCTCAGACTTCGCATCCCTCATCATCTACTACTCCCCTAGTATCACCCTCTCCCCATTCTGGTAAATGCATGCCAAAAGGCAAAAACATACATGTTCCAAATGTAGACATAATTTCAGAAATGAATTCAGGACGTAGGTAACGAGAAATGTCTGTAACTTGAAAACGAGGTCAGATAGTACGAATATTTATATGAACTGTTTATGTTGTTTTTATGTCCTGAATTTATTTCTGAAGTTATTTTTACGTGTTATAAAACACCTTTGTGTGCGTACGTACGTGTTTTATTAAATGAAATTTATAAAATAATTATATACTATATAATATAATAATATTAACAACGTTAAATTAAAATTTAAATAAAAACAAAAACGATAAAATTATAATTATTATAGAAAAATGTAAGAATTGAAATTGAGTTTATTAAGTAATATTATGTCATGAAGTTGTAACTTTAATTATCCATTAGCAATGTGAAATTTTTACCTTTTGTCTGCAAGTTGAATTTTCAAACTTTAATGCAGATTTTTATATTGTTTTGGACTGTATAAAAGTCTGAAAAAATTCTTATACATTTGTGTAAATTTTAATAATGAGTTATTGGATTGTAGTTCATTTATTTTTTATACATTTAAATTTATCTATCAGAATTTGTAATTAAAAAATTAGCTATGCCTTTAAAATACAACTTTTCCGATAAAGAGTTAAAATATGTTTTAAAATAATATTTGAACTATACAAGTTTGAATATCTTGATATATCACTTTTGTTGTATTTATTTTACTATTGGTATAAACTAAATTACATATTTATTTTGTTAAAAAAATAAGAAAATTAGTTTATAAAATTATTAGAAATAAATTATTTTATTTCTTATACAATTTATGTTTTATATTATTGAAATCAATTGCTTTATAGGTATTCAAACAACAATATTAGCGAGACCTCAAGTACCTGGTGCTCTACCTTCGGTTGGCCAATCAAACTTAAATTCTCCAATGAGTTTTCCACCACCTTCACCATACCACTCTGAATATAGCAAGTAAGAATAAACATTAATAAAATGGTATCGAAATAAATTAATAATTTATAAATAAAATAAAATAAATTTTATGTATCAAATTTAATATAGACATGTTACATACAGTTTTTATTTTATATATAAAAAATTGTATAATATGTACATGTGTACATTGATATTAATTTTAATTCTTATAAATTTTTTCATTTTTTAGTAGTCCACAGTTTAGTCCGGCATTTTCGGAGCCTCCTAGTCCATGGGTGAATCCCGAAGACGAAGGAAATGCTCCAACAGGCAATGCTACCATTTCATACAACCAAAGAAGCAATCTAAAGATGGAAGCTGATGAAGCATTGGGCACTGCAGCGACAATATCCTCGGTTCTCTATGCTAATATAAATCATCCTGAATGGAAAACTGATTTTCCAGGTAAGAATTATTTAATTAAGTGTTTTAAATCCATTTTTGAGAATTGTTATTTTTATTAAAATCCTTTAATATTTCTTTCTATTGATTCTGCCAAATCAAATTTTGATATTATACCTGATTTAAAATATTCTAATAAATGTTTTCATTTTACGAAGTATGGGCCGAGAGATGTAAACAAATTCTGAAGAAATGGCGAGCACTTCCAAATGATAAGAAAGCCCCATATTTGACTCAGGCTCGAGACAATCGTGCTGCAGTTCGCATGAAAAAAACACAGCAGGTAATTAATATTATATATATAATATATATGCATATGCGAAACGAGAAAAATGGATTTTAATTATCGCGCTTATTTTCCTATGTTAATTTTTCAGTCAGAATTTATGACTGAGAAAAGCGCGATAATTTATTAATTTGGGATAATCAGTATTTCTAGACGTTCTTTATTGGGGTTTTTGTTCTCGAGCGTGTCTTGTGCTAACACTCAAGTGAGACTAACAGCTCGACAGTCCTGTGTGTCGTAAACTATATTTCTATTGTGAACTTCAGGATTTTTACTGGTTTCTTAAAATAAAATAATTTCCATTTTTTTTTTATGACGAGTGGATGTCCCAATTATTTGTTTTTACTACAAAAAAAGATTTCAAAATAAAATAATAGTTGAAAATAATTTAAATTATATAATTAGATAATTAAAATAATTTTTGAAAATGAATAAAATAGATTTCACTTCATATTTATGCATTTAACCTTAAAAACGTGTAAATATAAATTTTATTATGGATGAATGAATGAGATAAGATGAAAGGGATCAGCCAATATAGAATGATGAAATTCACTGTACTAATATTAGAAATAATTACACTTCTTTAAAAAAAATCTATAATGAAATTTATAAGGAATATAATGAAATTTATAAGGAAGAAAAATTTCGAAAAAATTTTTAATTTGTTATGATATAAAATATTCCAAATTATAAATTTTTATCTGTATCTAGTTTCAACATATTATATGTAGGAAATATTTTAAGCTATTATAATACAAATAGGTTCTACTCACGCTCGAAGGTAGAATTAAATGTCATCGAGTCTCTATATAATGGGCCCAAATGAGGTGAAAAGGAATTTTTAATTTTAAATCTTTTATCTCTTTTTATATATAAAAATTAAGAATAGAAATGTTCATGTACAAATTTCCAAGTATATACAAAAAATAAATATATTCTAAAAAAAAAAAGAATATTATTATATATAAAAATAGAATGTTTCAAGTTCTAATAATTAAAATATACCAACATGTTTTATGAATTGAATTAAGATGTTATAAATATGTGTTCATAGAAGTTTTATTTAAAAGTTATAAAAAAATTTTTTTATCTAAATAAACTAGTACAAATTGGTCATTAAAATCTAGAACGTATCTAAATATCTGTATATCTGGGACCTATGTAAATCCAATTTATAAATCTGCATGTGCTTAGATGTGGATCTACAAGTTTATCAATTTATAAATTTATAATCTGTAAATCTATCGATTCATAAGTGTGTAGATGAATGGAACCTTGTTACCCATTCTTGTTTTACTGCTTTATAAATTAGATTTAGATATGTATAATATTTAAAACCACAATTGATACAATATATATATTATTTAGATATATCCAATAAGAATCCTCACAAATTCACGTAGATCCATAAATTCACAAAGTCCAGAAAATCCATATATATACCTTGCTTTTATGTGTTTCGTAAATACAAAGCAGGCTAATTTATGTTAATAATCGAAATTTCGTATTGAATGCGACTTCTTATTAGGTTGTCTCGTTCGGGCCTATTATGTCAATTTTTACATGCAGGATGTCTCTCATAAAACTGTTTTTTTAAATATTGCAATATAAACGAAAATTTCGAACATGCCAGAAAAAGTGGAACAAAATGATTAATCAACAAGTGAAAATTATTAATGTATTAAAATATAAGAAAAAAAATGAAATATTAGGAATAATAAGAGAGTCTTTCATAAGACACGATGATGTCTCGGCACTAAGCAAGCCGCAGTGACACTACCGTGTACTTTATGCGAGACCTCGAGTTGCGCGGGATTGAGATAACAATATTTATTAAATTCATACGAAGGAATTCTTATTTGTATTTCTTTTTAGCTGATTTAGATATGTCTCAGAAAATGCAAAAACTTTTGCAAAATTAAAAATTTTGAGAAATTTAAATCTTTTATTAAAATGTCAACATTTATTGATACAATTTATTTTATAAAAATATTTATAAATATCTGCGTGATAGAATTTAAAAACGAAGTAGTTATAAAATATGTTCTTGTATAAGATTTATGCGAAACATCCTCATGTCTATATCGCATCGTGTGATTGCGAACCGCTCGGTGTTAATCCGACAGCTCTCCAAGGAGACACCACCACCAAGCACCACCAACACTATCATCACTACCAATATAACCACCACCAATACCACCACCATCAATATGAATACCACTACTACTACCACCACCGCCATGACTACCATCATCACCAAACCCGCCGCTATGACGGCTCAGCAACAGCAAGGAGTGAATTTGAGGCCCATGGAGAAGCAATCAGGAATGTTGATGACCAGTGGAATGACATCAACCAGCAACAATCAGCATCAGGAGGTGTGTGGGGTGCAGGGAACCCCGCCCAGCCCTTCCCTCTCCCCTGAAGCTCCTAGAAACCAACAATCATCCGTCTTGCAATCTTGCACAACACCGGCTTCTTCGTCCTCTTTGTCTTCTTCTGCGTCTTCTTCCTCTTCTTTTTCTCATTGCAACAATTCGGGTGAAGGGCAGCAACCCCTCCAGCAACGTCCCCCGATTGTCGTTAACAGCGGCAGCGGAAATAGTAGCATAGATCAGCATCAGATCCGAGTGCTCACTCCGTCCGAGATCATGCGCACCCTTCCGTCCCTCAGCCAGGAGCACTACGACCCCCCACCTCCGCCACCACCACCCACTGCAATTGTTCACACTGTGCCTCCCGTACAGAACCATCACCACCACCACCACCATCACCACCACCACCCGAATAACATTATGGTGAGAGCCTTCGTAGTGTTTTCTTGCCTTTCTCTTTGCATCTGATCGAGACTTAGTATTCTTCTTGTATACATGTATATATATTATATTTAAAATATTATTAAACGAAGATTTTATTCCTTAAATACGTGTTTCATGCTTTATATTATAGGGTCGTGGTTGATATGAACACAACACATTATAGTTTTATTTAGTGTCATTGTCAGCATTTGCCTTAAAGAATTTAAGAAGTTTATTTACATACATTATTTAATTTTCCAATTAGTATTTATTTTTATAGTTATTGTTAGTTTTTTATGTGATTGAATTTATTTAATTGAAATATTTTTTTAATATCGAATGCTGAACATATATGTATATATATATATATATACTTTTTTCTGTCAGGTCGCCATTATGATAGAAAGTATTTTGATATTGTATACTTATTTCTTATAATTCGAAAATATTCCAGTAGCATGTTTAAAAATAGTAGCATATATTTTATAATCTATCCTGTTATTTGTATCCTTATCAATCCTGATTCATGAATCATTTATTTCTTATCCTTTAAATCCATTGATATCGCTTATGATTTTTTTTTGTTATTGTGGGTGAATGATAATCAGTATACTATACTATGTTGCTCTATAATGGTTATGCAGTAGCTTGGTACTAATCTTATTACTTTACAGTCTTTCAGATTTTTCCTCCTTATTACGAATATAATTAGAAGAATTCGTATAATTAAAAATTTTCTGTTTTTATTTGTTTTAAAATTAAAATGAAAAATATAGCAACAAACAGACATAGCAAATAAATTATAATCCGATATAAAAAAGGAGCAGTACGATAATTTATTAAACAAATAGACAAGAATTTAACTTTATGAATAAAATCTTATGGCTTATGTTTTTAGACTACTGCAGATGATGTCTTTTAATATGTTTATTTCTGTGATATATTCTGAGAGGATATCCTATAATTACCACACATTTTATATTAAAATATTAAGATTATAAGAGCTTTTAAATAAAAAACGTTATCTTACAGTTATATACAGATAATTTATTGTATATGCTAACAAAAATGAATAACATTATTATGAAGTATTGATATTAAAAACGCGAAACATTAAAACCATCAAAACTGAAGTGTAATTAATTAATGATTTTTTTTATATTATGCTAATCAGTTGTACTAAATTATATTTATATCTAAGGATATCTTTACTACTTGTGTGTGTTCAATGCCATAACTTTAAATATTTTTTATTTAAAAATGCTTATATACATATATTAACCCTTAAACGTTTTTGTTGTAGCATACTCAGCTTTTCTTTTTCTAATGCTTTTTCAATGCTTTTTCTATTGCTTATAACTTTTGTATTAATACTGGTATATACATTTTCTTGGTACAGTTATGTTTCTTAATGTTTGATTTTTTTATTAAAAAAAAAAGATTGTTTACAATACGTTCATTTTTGAAAGTTATAAGCAATTGAAATTGATTGGGTATGCCATACCAAGTGTATTTCTATAGTGTAGCGTTCAAGGGTTAAATATAAACTTATTAAACTATTGCAGCTCCAGTATTTCAGATTAAGATTTTTATCTTTAAATGGTCTTAGGTACTTAGTATTATTAAACGGTTATTATATATGTATCTGGTATACTCCATAATTCTATATACATAACACACATATTTTATTATGATTGTATTTCGTTATGTAAATTTATTGGAATTATTCAACGTTATGATATGCATGAATGTGGAATCGTCGCATTAATCTTCGGTGAGATTGTGGTGTTTATAGTTTTTGTGTTTTTTACTGTGAATAAAGTTTTCTTCAAGTAAACTAATTAATATGCGCGCGTGCGTGTATGAATATACTAATATTATAAATTAATCTCTTGAAATTATGGTGGCTGGTTATAATTGTTTCCAGTGTATTTGCATTTATACGAGATTTACAGAATCTTGCTAATTATTATTAATTTAATTGTGTATTATTGTTGTTACTTTTAAAGGTGTTTATGCAAGATATGGCCAAAAATTTGAAATTATATTTATTTTTTATATAATTAAAATATACAGAATTAAAAAAGAATTATATAATACTTTTTTAGTTTTTTTTAAATATTTTTTCAAATTTTTGACCGATATTATGTATATTAATATTTTTTATTGGCTGATTGTAATTAGTGCTTTTTATTTAATTGTGTTTTATGAGGAAAGGTCATTACATTTCAAAGTTGATTTCTAGAACAAAAAAAATATGAATGTAATTGTAAAAATATTTTTTATAAATTTTAGATACACATATTTATTAAATTTTGTGTTTAATTTATGAGATTAATTATAAGATTAATATTAAATTAAATTAATTAATTAATATTTAACAAAATTATTACAATACGTTAAAATTAAATAAAAATATTATAAAATAATTTTATATTAAATCTAATTTTTTTAATTGTAAATTTTATTGTGATACAGTAGAGCTCTAGTAAAAGCAATATTTTTTATTAAAAATAATTATGTCAAATGTAATGACCTTTTTTTAACAAATAGTTTGAAAATTATATTTAATTGACCTTCAACAGGAACAGGATAGACTATCAAACAGAGATCGATCTACTAGAGAAGCTGAGCAGGAAAGACAGTGGAAACAATTGCAAGCATTACGTCAACACCAAGCACAAATGCAGCAGCAGGTCATTCATGAACAACGTGTACATGGTACATTTACTATATTTAATTGTAGCTTAATAGTTTGGAGCACTATTCTGTCATATTTTTTATATTTTATTTTAGAAAAATCTAAATTAAATATAAATTGAAGAAAGTTATCAGAAAATTAAAGATGTATAAAAAGAAAAAACACTCAATTTTTTAGAATTTATTATATGATTAAAAATACAAAATTTAATTAATTTCATTAAATTGATATACATTTATTTAAGACAAATAAAGAAAAACTGTTAATATAATATAAATTGCAATTATAATATATATTTTTTCTGTTAAAAGCAATTGCCAGAGTACACAGACAAATCAGTGAGGAAAATGCACCTCCGCTAAGTAGTGATACTACGCCTGCATTAACGACACAATTACAAGTTTCCACAGCGCAAGTAAGTCTGTTTAATCTTTTTATTTTGATTTTATATATATAATTAATTTAAAAAATATATATTAATTATATTTTTAATTATATATATTGCATATTTTTAATAAA